GTCCTGATTCTGAGTTTGACTTTAAAAACAGAAACTCTGATTTAAAGTTTTTAACTTTCTGTTCGTTGGACAGCAGAGCCGAGAAGTTCTGGATCTCTGCTCCTCAGGTTTCTCTAAAGTTTCTGTTTTCGAACCAAAGACCGGGTTCGGGTTTCTGAGGGTTCAGGTTTCCGAGGGTTCAGATTGAAGGGTCACAAACAGGCCTTGAAGAACCGGTTTGAGTCCTCCTGGGAAACCTCCGATCCTCAGACAGATCTGTTCAAGTCAGAGGAAGAAAAACCTGTTTTGACTCGGGTCTGACATGTTCACTCAGGGTCTGGTTCTGCTCAGGCTGAAGGTCCAAAGTCCAGGTTTCTGCAGCTTCGGTTTCAGTTTTGGACCAAAGTCCACAGATCTCAGTCCGGATCAGAAGTCGAACTTTGACGGTTTTAGTCTTTAAACTTTCGGAGAGTCGATGTTCGACCAGGAGGTCTGAGTCGGTCTCACTTGGACTCAGAAACCCTCCAAAGACGCCACATCATCACCCGGGTCCTCCAGAACTCGACCCCGGAACCACGAGAGTCCACTTTCGACGAGTTTAAACCCCAAACAAACGATCGATCGATTAACCGATCAGCCCGATCAGTGAGCACGCACTCACGCCTCGTGTTCAGAGTCAGAAAAGACGAGTTCGAGCAGAGACAGCAGGGCAGGGGGGCAGGCTGGGGGGTCTTACCTGATTTCAGGCGCGGAGCTGCGTGTCGAGGGTCCGTGCGGGTCCTGGAGGTCCTGTCTGTGCGGTGAGAAGATGCGGGACTGAGGTCGGACTGAGAGACCAGAGACAAAGCAGCAGCAGCAGAAAGAGATCCGAGTCCAGACTGAGTCCTCTCTGTCCCCCCATGTGGCAGATATGAGAATTAACCTCCTTTAACCCTTCAATCCCCGCAGCGCACGCAAACCAGCGCGGGATTAACTGTGCGTGTGTGCGTGTGTGTGTGTGTGTGTGTGTGGGGGGGTCTGATCTGATGAAGTCTGGAGGAAACAACTGATATTAACAACAATGATAATAATAATAATAATAATAATAATAATAATAATAATAATAATATTTATAATAATAATAATAATAATAATAATAATAATATCAACAAAGTACAGATTTAGTGATTCTGTCACAGGGAAGACCCAGTTCTCTTTCATTTTCTTTCTCTTCCTTCCTTCCTTCCTTCCTTCCAGCCAAGCCTCACTTTGACTCTATCATGTCACTTTAGAACTTTTCTTATCCATCAGTCTGAAGGGAGCAGAGACCTCTTCTATTAGCTGACCCCTCACTCAAAGTCTTTTTGTTCTAATAATCGATCAATGAACAACATTAACACAACTAAACTAAACAAACAAAAACAACAACAACAAAACAAAACAAACAAAAACAACTAAACTAAACAAACAAAAACAACAACAACTAAACAAACAACAACAAAACTAAACAAACAAAAACAACAAAACAAACAGAACAGAGTTTCGGTTTGACTGATCGGTCACTGATCGATACTCTCGTCCTTCGATGAACTAAAACATAATAAGTACAAATCAAAGACAACATTTCTACAGAATCATTCGTTCCTTTTGTCCTCATTTATATTTTACTTTGTTCAGTTTTAATTCATGACTTTGACAGTTTCATCGTTGAACTACAGAGACACACGTCTGCATAAACAGATGTTTCATATGAAACTTCGTCATCTGCTCTGATATCAAACAGCTGTTGTTGTTAATATGATATATATTTTTTATATGTTACAGTCAGTCTTTAAATTTCAGTATTCCTGCTTTAATGAACTCTCTGTTCGTTTGTTCTCGGTGTCGACATTAGGAATAAAACATCATCAGAATCTTCTCCTGGTGAAGTTTGTTCGGGTTTAAAGGTGGACCTGATGTTTGATGGGACTATTCTCAGGGTCCTAATCCAAAAATAGGGGAGACCGGGGTGGGTTGTAAGTGGGCCTCAGTGTTATGTTTTATTCATGTTCCTGGGTTCAGGGTGGAGCTGCCCTCAGAGAAGTTCTGCTAAATTTAAAAAAAGTTTTGTTTTTCTTTAATAAACAAGTTAAAAATGATTTTAAATCCTGTCTTTTAAATAAATAAAAACATGACTTTGATTTTCTTCACACGGGGATTTGAGAAGTTAAACTGAGCTGATGTGCGGCGCTGAGGGAGGGGGACTCTCTCAGGGTTTTTTTCACTGACTAGAGCGACGGCGAGGAAGAGAAGAGCAGGTCACATGACTGAAGACGGAGGATGAGACGCTGTTAAGTAAAGAAGACGATAAGACGACTTCAGATCAGGTTTTTCTCCCTCAGGTCCGTGTGGAGCGAGTTTCTGACGTTTGATTAGCGTGACTTCACGTGTCCGACTTCTGTTTCTGTCGTTTTGAAGTCAAGTTTGTTTTCTACATGTGATGTTTCCTTTTATTTTTGGACTGGACTTTTAACAAACTCAGATTTTTAGTTCTCCCGGCGCGCTCGAACCCGAGGAGCTGAAATAAACGCCGTATCCATGGAAACGCCTTGTGTCTGTTTTCAGCTGGAGGGGCGTCCCAGCGGGGCCTCCTGGAGTCAGTCTGATAAAGGAGGAGTGTGACTTTGGCTGATAATGTCTTTAATCAGGTTTTATTGTGTTTTACTGAAAGTCAAAGTTGATTTATAAAGTCAAACAAAGTGCTGTACATGAGATCAATAAAAGAAGTCAATAAATAATCAAATTAAAAATCAAACACAGACGCTCAAAGACTAAAGTCGACAGTTCCTCTGATTGAATCTTTAAAGATGATTTTAAAAACTCAAATATGTTCAACTGCTCCAGAGTCTGAAAGAGCCGGCTCATCTCTGGACCTGAGTCTGGTTTTTAGGGACGCTCAACAGTAACTGGTCAGAGGACCTTCAGGCTCTGACGGGTCAGGAGGAGCGAGACCAGCGAGGGTGAAGGGTCGCTCTGTGGTCGCTCTTTTTCTTTGTTTGAACCATGAAACCGTTTCTTTACGGGGTTCAGTCCTCCAAAGACTGAAGCCTCTGAGGACCTGAACCCTAACAGTGAAGCTGAGACCTGCTGATCGGCCCCTGGATTTGAAGGTGATGGTTGTTGACTTTATAATTAATAATGAATGAATGAATGAAGAGATGGTGACTCTGTGAACAACAGCGATCAGTTTCAACTCTGCGGTGAAGACGCTCCTTCACAGTTTGGTCAGTTTGTCTCTGAGGTTGAAGATAAGAGAGTGAAGGTTTCTGTCCTGCTTCACAGACTCCAGCCCTGACAGAGAGGAGGAGGAGGAGGAGGAGGAGGAGGAGGAGGGAGGTGGTGAAGTCAGAGTCAGTCTGAGGAGGACAATGCTCCTCCACACTCGCCCGGCGTGTGAGCCTGTAAATGGAGTTATTCTGCAGCTCGTACAGGCGTGATCACACACGAGAGGAGGGCGAGAAGAGCGTGACGCTGCAGCCTGAAGGAGGCGGCGAGGGCGGCGGCGGTGGGGGGGGAGCTGAAGGAGGTCTCTCTGTGGACTCATGAGAGCTGAGAGACGCTCCGGATTAATGAGAGAGTGAGCGGAGGTCTGAGCTCACCATCTCTGCCACCATGACTTATGTGTGTGTGAGTGTGTGTGTGTGTGTGAGTGAGTGAGTGTGTGTGTGTGTGTGTGTGTGTGTGTGTGTGTGTGAGAGTGTGTGTGTGAGTGAGTGTGTGTGGGGGGGGCTCTCAGCAGTGACCTCATGACTTCAGTCCTGCTCCACAGAGAGACGTCACGGGTCAGAACTGGGTCAGAGTGGAGCTCAGATCCTTCACTGGACTGATGTCAGACAGAGCGAGGATGATGATGATGATGAAGGAGACGTGTTTAAGACAGAGAACAGAAGTGTTTAGATCTGTGTCTGCTCAGTTTAACTCGCTTTATTTAAACCATTTTAACTTTTTTAACTCATTAACTTATTTTTTTCCTTTTAACTCATAACTTATTTAAATTTATTTTTTTATTTTTAATTAATTTTAAGCATTATTTTTAACTCATTTTTATTTGTTACTCATTATTTTTAACTTATTTAACCCATTTTTTATTAACTTATTTTAAACTCACTTTTATTAACTCTTAACTTATTTAAATTCATTTTTTATTTTTAATTAATTTTAACTTAGTTATTTTTAACTCATTATTTGTTACTCATTTTTTATTAACTTATTTTAACTCATTTATTTTTAACTAATCTTTAATTTTAACTTATTTTAATTCATTTTTTAAAATTTTTAACTCTCTTCGTTTCATATTTTTCAGTTTTAACTCCTTCAACATCAGAAGCAGGTTTTTTTTTAAAAAAAGGAGGTCCCCGGTTCTCCTCCTTGGTCCTGTTCTGGATCTGCTCAGTCGGATTTTTAACGTCATGATCCAACGACCAAAATCAGAGAAATAAGAAATCCAGTTTTCTGACTGAAGGACTTGAAGGTCTTCAGGTTTTTATTCAAAGAAAGTGTTTCTGTCCACATTTAAACGTGTGTGTGTGTGACCCAACTGTTACACACACACACACACACACACACACACACACACACACACACGAGGTAGAACAATCCAGGTCCAGAGTTTTTAGAGGTGCGAACAGACCGCAGTCTCAGACCAGGTCCAGTCTCAGACCAGGTCCAGTCTCAGACCAGGTCAGGGTTACAGACACACTGCTGAGCGTATCAGAGTCCAGATTGTCGGACCGCAGAAGAAATTCTGGAGAAGAAGAAAGTGTTGATGAGAGAAAATAAGAAAGCAGGAGGTTCTTCTCAAAGATCTAAAAGGATAAAAACAGGAGCGAGTCTCCTCCTTCTCCTCCTTCTCCTCCTCCTCAGGAGCGAGTCTTCTCCTCCTCCTCCTCCTCCTCCTCCTCCTCCTCCTCCCTCAGGAGTGTGGGTCTAAAATAAAGTGCGAGTGAAAAGTCCTCTGACACCATGAAGAACATCTCAGGGTCTGAGCAGAGCGGCCGCCAGGT